CCTTCCTTGCGGAGACGTCGGAGCTCTTCGCATTTATGCTTTGCTGCGTCACGGGCGCTGACAGCAGAGGCGAGATCTGTGGAGCGTGCGGCGTGCTCTTCGACACGCTTGCGATATTCGGCGAGGACAGCTAGGTCGACTTGTGTGGATTCGTTCTTCTTCTCCAAGTGGGCGATTTGGTCTTTGAGGGTGGCCTTGTCCATGTCTTGAAGCTCGTCTTTACTGTAAGATGGAAGGCCCTGACCTTCACCCTCCTGCTCTTCGCCCAGGTCGGTAACGCTCTGGTATGAGAGCTTGCTCAGCTTGTCATGGAAGTAGGCTTGTTTCTTCTGGTACTCATTCAAAGTCTTCTGGCTCTCTTCGAGCTTGTTGCGCATTTCGATTTCGACTGCACGCGTCTCGTTGAGTTCCGCCAACTTCTCGTCAAGATCCTTCTTGACTAGCTGCAGCTCCTCTTTCCTGGTCTCAAGCTCTTCTTGCGCCTCTTCAGCTTGTTGTCGAATTCCGGAAACATCGCGTTGTTGCGAAGCCATGTCCTCTTCAACCTTCTCTGCATCGATGGCGAGCTTTTCCAGCTCCTTGATAGCATCGTTGTGCGCCTTCTCGTGCTTAGCACGCTGCTTCTCTTCTTTTGACTTGGCGACCTGGGCATTTGATACTTGCTCGGTCAGAGTGTCGATCTGCCCTTTCAAACCATCGACCTTGGCCTTCTGACCTCGTAGCTTGACTCCACCAATCTCCATAATCTTGTCCTGAAGACCCTTGATCTCGGCTTCGATGTCTTCAGTCTCGGCACGGAGCTTAGCGACCTCCTTCTCCATTGAGGCAATGTTCTTTTCCAGTGATGCGATGCGTCCCTTGTCAGTCTTTGTGGATGTCTGTTCATTGCCCAACTCCGCGATGCGACGTTGACAATCTGCAATATTACGATCGAAGCTCTCCAGTTCAAGCGCAAGTTTTTGCGACTTGGTATCCAATTCAGGTATTTGCTGATTGAGATCTCTCAGCGCAGTCTCAAGCTCCCGCAGCTCTTGCTGGAACTCGGCGAAAGTCTTTTCGAGCGCGTCCCGATCATGCTCAAGCTTTGTAACCTGGTCTTTTGAGACATCAGACGCAAGCTTGGAGGACATCTTTCCCTTGACCACTCTGCTTCCACCACCACTCATGGTACCCGCGGTGTCGATAAGCTTGCCGTCTAGAGTGACGACTCGCCATCGCTTTGCCCCATACGCGATACGCTCAGCTTGATCGAGGTTCTCAGCTACGAGTGTATTTGTCATGACCTGGAAGAATGCGGGCTTGAGCTTTTCGTGCTTAGGCTTAACAAGATCAAAAAGACGCGGCACGTTTTCGGGTGTTTGAACTGGGGACATGTCACGCTTCGCGAGACGGTCCAGAAGAATGAAGTTTGCGCGACCGAGGTTGTTCTTCCGCAGGTACTCAATGCACTGCTGACCAGACTCCACAGTGTCTACAACCATGTTGTCCAGCTGTGGACAGGCTGTAGAGATAGCAACATCGTACTTCTGGTCGATGGTACCAAGGTTTCCGAGTCGACCGTGGAAGCCATCAATACGTCCTGATTCTTTCAGGCGCATGAGGCCTGTCAGAACGTTGCCCTGGGTCTGAGCCGAAGAGAGGCTCGCACGAGCTTCATCCGCCTTGGCCCTTGCGCCAGAAAGCTTCGATCTCAGCATTGGCTCTTGTTGAGTTATCTCCTCAAGCTTAGCCTGTGTCTTCCGAACCTCCTTTTCGACACGCTTCCTTTCGACTTTGCATTCGTCAAGCTCGGCAGCCTTGGTCTGTTTCGCTTCTTCCAAACTTTCAATCTTTGCCTCAACTTCAGCGATGCCCTTTGCGCCAGCATTCTCACGCTCACGCATAATGTCCAATTCACTCTGCGCGACTGCAATAGCCGATTGTTTTTCGTTAATCTTGGCACTCCAAGGTTCCAAAGACTTCTGCTTTGCCGCGATCTCATCCGAGAGACCCTGAGTTTTACCGGCCAAGCTCTTGCGAACAACTTCGAGTTCCTTCGCTTCGACCTCCATGCTCTGCTCAAGCTCAGCAATCTCCTCGTTGTAGCGCTCGGCATCCGCGGAATACTGCTTCGCAAGACTCTCTGCTTCAGAACGACCATAGCCACTTGTCTCTTTGGTCTTTTCTAGCTTCTTCTGCTTGCCAGCCAGAAACTTCTTCTTCTCTTCAAATTTGACCGTCTCCTTGTCGACACGGGCCACTTCTTTCTGGTACTCCTGGTTTCTCTTCTCGAGTTGATCGCACTCTTTCACGCCCTTCTTGTATCGTTGCTCTAGTTCCTTGATCTCTTCTTCGCTTCCCTGGTGTTTTTGTAACTCGTCGTCCAATTGCGCCTGGAGCTGACCGACGGACTCTTGTGCGACTTGAATGTGATCATCGAATTCGGAGACGTAGATCTGGTAGAGGGTGGACTGCTTTGAGGCCAGCTCGTTCTCGTCACGAATGTAGGCAAGCGCCTTGTTCTTCTTCTCTTCCAGTCCGCTCTTCTCCTTTTCGACGTGCTGCACACGGCTGCTTTTTTCCCGACATACTTCATTCAGGTTCTCCACTTCGACCTCAGACTCAGCAATAGGTGTCTTGTACTTGGACGTGCCGATAATATCTTCGAGGTACTCAAGCAGACCATCGTCGTGTTCGCCCTGTGCTTTTGGCTTCATCTGCGCGATCGACTCAACCTCACCCTGCAAGATCAAGAAGCGCTTATGATCGAGATCCACACCCCGGTCTTTGAGCAAGTTGGTGACAATGGTAAACGTAGACTCCTTCTTGTTGATGTAGTATTTGCTCGAGTTGTTCTTGAATGCTCTGCGGGAAATTACGAGCTGCGAGTCAGGGATGACTTCGTGGCCACCGTTTGCAAGGTCTTTGACTTCTTGGAAGTGGACTTCGACTTCACAATAATCCAGATCTGGGAAGGCGGCCGAGTTGTGGATGAGGGCGGAAAGCTTGCTCTGACGCATCTTGCTTGCGCGGAAACCAAAGACGAACAGGAGCGAGTCGATGACGTTTGACTTTCCGGAACCGTTGGGACCTACGACGGAGGAGAAGGAGGCGTGGAAGGGCCCAACCTCCTGCCGACCAGCATAACTCTTGAAGTTGTTGAGGACAAGCCAGGTGATGACTGTCCGCTGCTTGGGCGCCACTGGCTCGTGCAGCGCTGGAATGGCAGCCGCTCGTCTCTTGACCACGATATCTATGGGCTCAAGCATGGTTTGCTGTGTGCTAAGTTCCTCGGCGACCTTGGCCGGCGGCTGGGGCTCTGGTAATGAATCGACCTCCATCTTTGGCTCTGGTACCGGTGTCTCCTCTTTCGTTTCTATCTGTGTAACCTCAGCGACTGGCTCGGGCGCGGGTTCTGGCTCGGGTGCCGGCTCTGGCGTTCGATCGGTCATTGTAACGTCGCTCGCCGCATCGTTGGCGATATCATCCGCCGTTTCATCTGCAGCACCAGCGAGCGGTGAGCTCGGTGTAATCGTGGCCTCGGAGGCCTGCTCGACTTCAGGCTCGGGAGATATCGAGGGCTCAGGCGTGAGCAAATGGGAATCCTCCTCGACGGGTGCTGGGGCAACAGAGGAACGGGGCTTCCTTCCACGCTTCTTGGGCACTGCCTTGGAGGGTGAAGCCACCCTCGTGGTCCTCTCTGTCGCGGGGGTCAGCGTCTGCGTGGGCTCGACCGACTCAGTGACGCGAGTCCGCCGCCTGGTCGTGGGTTTGGGTGTCGCTTCTTCATTCTGGGCTGCAGTCTTCCGTGGCCTTCCCCGCCCCCGGCCCGTCTTGAGCGGTGCTGGTGCTGGTGCTGGTGTGAAATCCTCCTCGTCTGCCTCCTGCTTGACTTCGGGTGTCGGTGTCCTGTTTTCCTCGTGGTCCGAATCGTCGACAACGGGTGCCTTCCGGCGCGTCGCAGCGGCGCGCGTAGACTTCCTCGGGGAGATTGAAGCCATGGCTTGTCGCTATGACTGTGGGTTCGCCGTGGTGGGAGGCCGTTTGCGCGGAGTGCCCTTGTGCGACCTGACGCTTCCCTAGCCTTAACGGACAAAAGCGTAAACAAACACCCGTGCACGTGTCAGCCCCGCGCGCCCCACTTGTCCCTGGGCCCTCAACTGTTAGACTAGATGGGGTGTCCAGACAGAATCTACCACACAATGTAGAACTGACCCGCGTCCTAATTTCGTCTCTAGTCTATCGAGGACGTGTAGGCTCCATGTGTTTCCCCCCCAGCTCTTGACCGGGACTTCGAGGCTACACTTGGATGCTGATACCATATGCGGTGCCGTGCATCTGCAATAACTGTAGCCCCGCCTCAAACACCAGCCTGAGCACTCTTGCATCATCGTGACTCTCAGCGTACTCAGTCACATACTCGCCGTCTCCAAAAAAAGAAAGAGGGTTGAGAACCGCATCTTCCATACCTAGGTAGTCGCCGTCTCCTCCTAGCGCCATCATGGCAGCAACTCTACACAAGTTCAAGCTCGTATTCTTCGTTCCTCCTTCTGCCGTCAATGCCTGTAAGGCTGCTATCTTCGGTGCCGGTGCGGGACGTTTCCCAGGCCCAGCCGGGTACACCGAGTGCTGCTTTACTAGCAGAGGAACAGGACAGTTCAGACCAGGCGATGCTGCCAATCCACATGTAGGTCTATATCCATATTAATCATGTCTCAGGTAAAGCTGAAGCTATAATGAACATTCTGCAACTGACACTGATTATATAGATTGGCAAAGTTGGTGAATTGGAAGAAGTAGATGAGTATAGAATCGAGGCTATATGTATGGGGCGTGATACCGCTGTCAAAGCTGTGGAAGCGCTGAAGAAGTGGGTTTGTCCTTCCTTGGTATCAAACAAGCATCATTAATGAACACAGGGCACATCCATACGAAGAACCCGCATACGAAGTATACAAGATGGAGGATATGTAAAAAACTTATATCCCTATGATGGTTCGGCAAACGGTCAGCTAGTGCGGCTATTTACTCTCTTTCCCCAATACTACATCTTGCAACACTTGCTTGATGATGGGCAAATCCCTCTTAACATCTGTCATCCAATTTGAGACTGCGAACCTACACGCTGGCTTTCCATCCCACGCTGTACCTGATACATATATCTTCCTCGTGGCCTTGATTTTATTGACCAGCTGTTTGTTCAATTCTTCGTCTACTGCACGAAACAGTACGATGATATAAATTCCCTTCAAGATATCTTCATGGCAAGCACTGCTCTTAGGTAGGAGCTCATATCCATCGCTTTCCAGGATGTATCTTGCGATTCCTCGTGAGAGATCTACCTGCCGTTCCAACATCGTACGATAACCCTCTCTACCATACGCAACAAGATTGGCGTAGACTGGTAACGCCCTGAAGCGCCGGGAGTTCTCGAGTCCGATGTTAAGTGGTGACATGATGGCGTTCGCATCGTTCCCAGAAGCCAGGTATGCAGCGTTGGGATTTTGGAATACGCGTTCAGCGATATTACGGTGCCGAGAGAGAAAGAAGCCACAGTCATATGGTACATTAAGCAGCTTGTGTGCATCGCCTGTGATTGAGTCTGCAAGGTTGAGCCCTCCACAAGCCTGGGCGATCGAAGAGTAAGTCGGTGATGTCAACAGGCGGCCGAAGAGCCCAAATGCGCCATCGACATGTATCCACGCCCCATACACTACATGTTGGTATGCACAGTCAGTGGTTGTTTCACGTGTAGTTCGTACAAGGATATAACTTACTATCGCACAGCTTTCGTATCTCTTCCATCTCTTCTAGCCCTGAGGTTGCGAAGACTCCCGTGTTAACTTCCGATGCAGAGACGGCAACGATAGACGCTGCACCAGGCTGCTCGAGTGATTTCTTGAGCAGCTGCATGTCAAACCTGTGTGGTGCTTCTGACTGCCCCAGACACTTGACGCTCGTCCGCCCAAGGCCTAGTATGCCCGCCGCTTTTCCTAGCGATGAGTGCGGTACCGTAGTCAATATTTGAATATCGTCAATCCCGGCACTCCGCATAGCTTCAACAATACCAAGCTCACCAACGCTAATCTCTGCATCTGTACGGTGCGCTGAGGCCTCAGCAATCACGTACTCTCGTCCGCATGCCAAACCTAGGATGTTCGCTGATGTCGCGCCCGTAGTGAATATGCGATGCGGCCATTGCTCTGGTTCGAAGTCGAGCAATTCACAGAGTAGAGAAAGGGCTCGGTCCTCTACGTCGGTGGCGATGGTCTCATTTGGCAGATGGACTTGTACGTTCTGGTCGTATGCTGAGACCAGATTGTCGGCAAGGAGTGCTGCTGGTGTCGTGCCACCTGTCACAAAGCCGTAGTAATTTGGCGAGCGAGAAGAGCCATTAAATGCTGGAGCGAGGTCCTCTTGTAGGTGACGTATGCTCTCTTCGAGCCCGACACCTTGGCTGGGGAGGTGAGGCTGAAGCTTGGAGCGAGCGTCATTCAATGTAGTCGTGGACGGAAGGACATCAGCAGGTGGAGGGCCCGAGTGTATCTTTGCGATTGCAGCGGAGAGCCTTTGGAACAGCTCATTATCTGTAACCTCCATGATTGATGCTTGATGTCTTACGTGATGAGAGTTGACTTCACGCAAGTAGGTAGATCGGTTTTGGTGACTGATTTGGTAGACAGAGTTATTGGCCGGAAGACTTTCTCAGTACGACGGAACGTATGACTCTACTCAGAGCCTAGGTTTTGAAGTAGTTAGGCCACCTAGAAGCGGCTGGTGACTTCGCAACCTGCGCCATATTCGCGCGGATAGAGCTAGTTACTGTCGCAAACCAGATGGATGTAGCGCCCATATGAGTTATCGCCCGTGTGTTGGCGGGTCCGTGTAAAGAGCGGCATCTCTGACTGCAGAGCGGCAGGCCCACTCCAGAGAGCCAACGCTGTTCGGCATATCGAGACCCTGCACGTGATTTGGTGCTAGCGCGGCGCGTTGCGGAGTTAGCACAACACGGTCGACGGCACCATCGATGACATCGCCACCGTCTCGCCCGTAAAACCGCGACACCTATGCAGATGCACGCGTAGAATATCCATGCGGACTCCCACACCAACGATGCGACGCTCTCATGCCTCGGAACAATCTTAGCAAACATCTCAAGTGGTTGATCGCCGAGAAGCCTTTCATTCCGCCCGCGATTTCGCCTGTTGTATACGATCCCGACGCAGTTCCGACGAGTTCAGCGACAACTCCACATCAGAACTCTTCATTTTTGGACGAAGACATAGAATACAATGAGCCTGAACCTGCCTCCGCGCCACCGCCCCCACCAGCACTGCCAGTCGCACGACCCGCTCCACCCCACGCTCTCGCTCGAACAAGAACCATCGACATACACAATCCGCCAGAGGCGGAAGACGTGGCCTCAGATATGGCAAGACTGAGAAACACACCAGCCAGTGGAAAGCCTAGACTGATTATAGCGGGGCTGCCTGAATATGCTTCCTCTTCGAACCCAACCAGCAGAGAGCGGAGGGAGCCTAGCGATGCAGGAGGTTCCAGGAGTAATCTGCAGGACTCCTCGGCGAGTGTGAGGAAGCTTACTGGCTCCACCGTGGAAAACACTCCCGCTTCTCAACACGTCGCTGCGAGGACGAAGTACCGCGAGCCAATTGATGTCGATTCAATCGACCTCACCGGAGACGATGCGGGCTGCTCTTCGCCGATTCCAATGCGCACGCAAAAGAGCAGAAAGCGGAAGAGCGACGAGTATGAAGCGGACCTCCGTCACACCAAGTCCCCCAGGCCTGTTCGGAAGGCGCCCGCGCTCAGTCCAGAGCCTGACGACGACGACGACGACGACGATGACTTCCCGGACATCGATGATATGGTCATGGCTCCGGATAGCCCTCCCCCACCTTACTCGGCCATTGTAGATGGTGCAGGTAGACAATCAAAGCATATTGCAACAGCTGAAGATGACGATATGGAGGCCATGTTACAACTGGAAGAAGAGGAGCGACAGATGGCAGCTGCAGAAAATGCGACATCCTCACAGGCCCGTAAGCGCAAGTCACTGAGCCGCGTCCCCTCTGAGATTGCACCCGCTCGAAAGATAGGGAGGCAAACACGTAGCCCTTCGCCCCGAAAGAACAATCCTGTCACGATCGAGAGCACAACTGGAAAGAATGGAGTTTCGCACACATCTGGCACTAAGAGAGTTGGGCATGCAGTTCTGGACTCCGAGGACGATGAATTCGGCGCACTGGACGAGATGGATTTCGACACACAGTCTCGGACCAAATCACCTATCCCAACGATGAAGAGAGTGCGTGAAAAGACACCAATGGCTGGCCCTGGCAGAGTTGCGAGTCAGACCCAGCTTCCTATACGGTCGCCTTCGAAGACCATACGAAGCCCAAGCCCATATCAGCCGGAAGAGATTTCCATACCTACCCCAGCAAAGTCTCAGTCCCCCAAAAAGATTGCTGAGTCTGCTCTTGTACCCGACAAACGCATACCGAGCTCTTCTGAACTGTCCAAAGAAAAGAGAGATGCTATCAAAGAATCGATTGAAACCTTTCTGAGTACTGAAGGTCAAAGATTGCAAAAGCACCTCAAGGCTGCAAGCTCAGCATGGGACAGCGCACGGGCTGCATTCGTTGCACATCTGTCCGAATTTGGCAAGCCTGATCCTAGCGAACAGGAAAGGATGGAACGCGCTCGCTCGCGAAAGGACGCAGTAGAGCAATTGATCTCGTTGAAAACCAAACAGGATGAACTTACGAGACAACGTCAGAGGGTTAAGCAGAAGCTAGAGGATGACTTGAACATCGGTCAATTTGACGCAGCGGATGGTGAAACCCTCAGCAGACTGTTCAAGATAAACGAGGACATACAGATCCAGATGTTCTACTTGTTGGATTTAGCGGCCATCAAGCAGCAGTCAACGCCTCTTGTCAAAACAGAGTCGAAAAACAACCGCAACGTGGTCATACAATCAACTCAAGCAAGTCCGGCCCGACCGCCTCCTAAGGCTTCCAGGGATATAGGGTCGAATCGGATTCCACAGACACAGTATACTAAGCCAAGTGAGATTGGCGCTCAGGAAGTGTGGACGCCTCCCCGGCGTATTCGTTTCGCTGAAGAGCAAGTAGCCGCGTCTCCGCTACCGCCACTGAATCTAGGGTCTCGTGCCTATGCAGACGACAGTGCATCAGGAAAGCAAAAAGGCAAGTCAAGAGAGCGATCTCATCGGGTACCCGAGACACCAGAGCGCAGACGATCCCCAAAGAAACCAAGACCGGCGGCTCCGCAGCGTACACCGGATGAGTTTGGTGAGCTTGATTTTGAAGAAGACGGAAGCTTGTTCGGCAATAACATGGGCGAGCCCCACCAGCCTATTGAGATAAACGACGATGATGATTTTGGCGAAGATTTTGGACCCGACGACGATGACGACTTCCTTCATGAGATTACCAATATCGAGAACCAGGCGCCAAGTGGGTTTGATTGGAAAGGCGAGCGTGCAGAAAGTCGCGTATCAACAAAATCTCGCCAGGTGTTCCGCGAAACTTCTACCAACCAAGTCCAATCTAAACCAAATCAGCAGGCTTCACCGAAGAAGCAGCAGCTAAACATGCCTGCCAAAAACCACCCTGGAATGAACTTCCCCTGGTCGCAAGATCTCAGGACTGCCCTTATTCGTCGTTTCGGCCTGCGAGGATTTCGCCCAGGACAGCTGGAAGCTATCAACACTACACTCTCGGGCGAACACTGCTTCGTGCTCATGCCTACGGGAGGTGGCAAATCGCTCTGCTACCAACTTCCATCAGTGATCGCTTCAGGCAAGACACGGGGAGTTACTATCGTAGTATCTCCACTCTTGAGTTTGATGGAGGATCAGGTGACGGCTTGCAAACAACGCTTCGGGATGCAAGCGTTTCTGATCAACGGAGAGTCTACCGCAGCACAAAAGAGCATGATTATGGATGGGTTACGCCAGCGGGATCCCCAACAGTTCATACAAATCCTCTATCTAACTCCTGAAATGCTTAGCAAGAACCAGAGAATGATCAGTGCCTTCCAGCAACTGCATTCTGGAGGGAACCTTGCCCGTATCGTCATCGATGAAGCACATTGTGTTAGTCAATGGGGCCATGATTTCCGACCAGATTACAAGGCACTTGGAGACGTTGTCCGCCAATTTCCCGGAGTACCTGTCATTGCCCTGACTGCAACTGCGACCCAACTCGTTCGTACTGATGTAGTGGCCAACCTCGGCATTCAGGGCTGCCGTCAATTTTCTCAGAGTTTTAACCGCCCTAATTTGTCCTACGAAGTTGTGCCGAAAGTCAAGGGTGTCATCAACAGTATTGCGGATCTGATTAAAGAGAGGTACATTGGCAAATCTGGAATCATCTATTGTCTGTCGCGGAAGAGTTGTGAGCAAGTGGCCCAAAAGTTGTCCGAGGCAGGCATCCGTGCCTATCATTACCACGCGGGAATGGATTCCGCTGACCGCTCCGAGGTTCAACGCAAATGGCAAAAGAACGAGTACCACGTCATTGTGGCTACCATCGCCTTCGGCATGGGCATCGATAAAGCTGACGTACGATACGTTATTCACCACTCGCTCCCTAAAAGTTTAGAGGGCTACTACCAAGAAACTGGACGAGCTGGGCGTGACGGCAAACGTTCAGAGTGCTACTTGTATTATCAGTATGCCGACTCAAGGATATTACACAAAATGATTCAAGAAGGTGAAGGAAGTTGGGAGCAGAAGCAGCGACTGACTGATATGCTACGGACCGTCATCCAGTACTGCGAGAACAAAGCCGACTGTCGACGCGCTCAAGTACTCGGATACTTTAGTGAAGCATTCGATGCCTCGAAGTGCAATTCAACATGCGACAATTGTCGTTCGGATGCCACATTCGTCACAAAAGATCTTACAGAGTATGCTGCCATGGCCATCAAGCTCGTAAGTCAAGTGCACGAGGACAACGTAACGATGCATCAGTGCGTAGATGCTTTCCGTGGCGCTGGCAGTGCTAAAATTAAGCGCTCGGGATTGGAAGAATACGGCTGGGGCTACGGCAAGGATCTGGAACGAGGTGATAACGAACGCATCTTTCAGCATTTGCTTGACGCGGGGGCTTTCAAGGAAAGAAGCAAGGTGAACAAAGTTGGCTTTGCCACCAACTACCTACACGTACGTATTTACGACCCTGATTATGGTCACATACTGACTGCTGCAGCCTGCTTCGACACGCAATGACTATGAAAGCAAACGAAAGCAATTGAAGTTACAAGTACGTTCTACACCACAAAAGGCACGCGCAAAAGCACCCGCAGCCAAGAAAACGAAGAAGCAGCAGACCCAGTTTCCGTCGACCAACGTCGACTCTCCTGTACGCGCGCCCAAGCAAAAGATTCGATCGTTTGCTTATAACGAGGAGGAAGATGATGACGATGACGACTTTGATATTCCTCGGCATCCTACGCGCAACAAGACTACGCGTGGTTACCAGACTGATGATTTTGTTGTCGACGACGACGACTACTTTGCGCCAATACGTGTTGCCAAGCCATCGAAGGCCACGAAGGGAAAGGGGGTTGGAGCTCCGATTACTGCAGATCAACGAACTGCAGAACTTACAGACCTACAAAGAGAAGTCTTGGACGATTTCATGAATGGAGCCAGGAAGATGAGAACGACCTTGCAAGAGAGGAAAGGCCACCGCGAAGCCATCTTCACAGACACTGTACTTCGTGAGATGGGTCTTGACTTGCCCATGAGTCTGGATGAGATGAAGACCATCCCTGGTATTAGGCCCGAAATGGTGGATCTCTATGGCAAGCAATTCTTGACCCTGATCAACAACAGTAGGGAATTCTATGGAGATGACACACCAGTGCCTAGGAACCCGCAACTTCGCAACCGTCGACCTCAACAATCACGGATCATCCACGAGATTGACGATGATGACGAGGAAGTTGACGACCAGAATCATCGGCTTGTTGTGGATCTGTGTAGCGAAGACGAAGGCCCGATGCCTGTTGCACACGAGTCTGAGGAGGAGTCCTTCTACGGCGATTTTGGTGAGGAGGATGATGATGATGACGACGATGACGGCGCGGTCCACACAAGTCATCACTTTAGCCAGTTTCAGAACCAAGACGTTGCAGACTTTAACAACCGATATACACAACTCGGTGGCGGCCCGGCTCCCTCTACTAAAGCGGCCAAGGCACCAGCAGCAAGAGGTGGATCTAAAGCTTATGGATCTGGGTACAAGAAGAAGGGTTCGTCACGCAAGAGGGCTTCTGGTAGCTTTAACAAGAGTTTCGGTGGCGTGAAGAAGCGAGCCTCGAAGAGTGGCGGTAGCAGAGCTTCAGGAGGCGCAACAACGACCAGCAGGCCTTCTGGTCGTGGTGGCAGAAGTGGAGGGTCAGGGGCTGGAACTGGATGGTCGGGTGTCATGGCAATGCCCACTTAGGTGTGCGGTGGGTTCCGAGTTTTTCAGGGAGGCGGAGAGAGACAGATCGAGCGTATACGTACGTTAGCGACTGTCCAAACTTTTACGACTTTATGCATATTCTTGGTGATGAGGTACATTGTTCGACTTACAACATGTAGATACTGGATTATATCACTATCACTTGTTACACACACGTGTGTAGTACTTTCAATCCCCAAATTTCAAAAACTTGACCATGCTCAAAAGGACAATCTATGTTCAAATGCATGGAGTACAAAGGATCAAGATGATCATATTGCAGTGTAAAAAGGTATTAATTCATTAGCCCGCAGGCGAGGTATTCATAAAGTACAAGTCCATCTCATTCCATGGAGGCTTCTTTGGGTATCGCATTCCTCCTTCTACCATCGAGGGCAAGCAGGATGCTTAAAAGCCGCTGCCATGGGTGTGAGTGGTGTGAGTGCCGGTAGTGTGGTGGCCCATTCCAAGAGCGTTCTTGGTCTTGTCGACAATGCTACCGCCAGTGGAGCCGTGAACGTTGTTGTCCTTGGAGCGGCCAATCTTGTCCATAGTAGACTGCGTGTTGGTCTTTGAAGAGTCGGGCTGCGCCTCGCGGGCAATCTTGTCGCCGGTGCCAGTGATGGACTCCTTGATCTTGGTGCCAGTGGACTTTGAAGACTGGGGTTGCTGATATGTCTGTTAGGGGATGCAGGTAATGAGAGGAGGATGAACAAGGAGACATACCATCTTCTCACCGAGCTTGGTGTGGGTGTCTTTGCGGAATGCGTCGGTCATGTTGGCTGTTTGTGGTGTTGTTTTTGGGGTAGTGTGTGTAGGTAGATGGTGGTTCTAGTTGATGTTTGAAGTTGCAGGTGTGGATGTTGATGGAGGCTTTCTTCAGCGCAGGACGAGTGCTGTTTATATGCTCCTCATGTCTCAAGCAGCTACGTCATAGTTCGTGACTGCCGTTCGCAGTCACAGCAGGAGTGAGACTGGCATGTGCCTGGAATGAAACAACGCAGCCACAAACAGCTCGTATGCCCAGAACAATCTAGGACGTCATTTTGTTGGCAATCTGACGAGGTCGAGATTCAGTCTGCTTTCGTGATAGGCCATATTCGTTTCGCTTGTTTGAATAGTACTTTGAGAGGCGAATGAACAGGGGTAGGTGATAGAGATCAACGATGGAAGCAAGTTTGCTGACCCGTCACGAGAGAAGCTAGCTAAGAGAGCGTGGCGTTCCCTACACTTCTTGGCCGTCGACTACCTGCCCTGCTTCAGGTATCTTCAAGAAAGATTAGTGCTAGCGTTTAGTCTACGAGCATACACGTGCATCGCGAGAGTTGGTGAGTTAAGTTCGAGTTTGAGGTGGGGCGAAGTTACTGGTCCCTGCGCCGGATGCGCGACTCCACGTGTACCGAGGTAGTAGTGACATCATCCCGTGTCGAAGGGTACAATCAAGCTTCAAGTCCGATCGCCAGGTCAACGGAGCCCAATGCTTGCTGGTATGCTGGTGTCTAGCATCTGACTGTCATTTTCACGAAATGAGATCGCTGATCACTGACGTACGACGCGATCCAGATCGCGCTATCATTATAGCCTGATGAGTGATCATGTTGGAGCAAGTCTACAAAACTCAATAGAAGTACGGCCTGCCCTGCCTTGGAGTTCGCAGGGTGTGCAGCGCAAGCTTCCGTCAGGTAAGGTTGTCGGGAGATGTCGCTGCAGGGCCACCGGGTAATGCTTGAGGGCCCGAACCGAGCCAAAGAAGTATACGGGCCTGAATTCAAGGTGCTCCTGCAAACAGGCTGCAAGAAGCTGTTGTTAGATGTCTAGGTATCCGTCGAGACTGCAACGAGACAGTATCGGCAATGGCCTCACCCTTTGCTTGGAGCTACTCAACACGCAGAGCCAGGCCGTGACCAAATGCCATGGCAAAGTGTTCAAGATGCATCGAGGACGATGGTGCTTTTTATTGTTGAATCTCCGGGTGCGCACTGTCGGCGGCACACCGACTACTATATACCGTGGATGGCGGTATGAGGCGGTATGAGGTGTCGCAGCGGATGTCTTGAGGTGCATGGCGCTACGACGCGTTCTGGAACCCTCAACCATGGCGCACGCGAAAGGGCGGTCGCAGTAGGACTGTAGCTGGTGCCGTACGCAAGCCGCCACGTCGTCGCAGGAATGAAGAGGCTGGACAAGGGACATTAACAGGAGGGTCTAATGCAGGAACGAGCTTGGATCGCCAGTAGCGCTGGTGTGTTATTGGCTGTTGGGCATGACGTTCGTGTTCGGTCCCCTCGACAACCCGCTTTGTTGATAGACTAAGCCAACCACCTCCAGCCACTTCAGACCAGCCATCACCATTTTCGCAACAGCAAAACTATCAGTCGCTGCAAGCAGAGAGAGAAGTCACATTCCACGCTACCATCCACACTTTGAATATTCTTCCACACAGGAGACATCTGACCATCATTGTCGCAGTGCACATCCCGACCGTACCGCATATCGACCCGCATTCCGCATATCGACCCAAGTACACTCGGATCAAGACACGATTGCTCCCGCTCTCTCGCACCTCTGTAGGAGAGAGACAACCCCACCAGCCGCTGTCTGAGTGCATTCCCCCGCTCATCTCACCCGGCCCTCTGGGGGCGCAGGGAGAATACGAAGCCTTTCAGGCGTAGTTGAAGGAAAGACACATTCATAATGGCGAACTTACGGTTCGCGGTGAGCATGCAACGTGAGTACTTGCATACATCTCCGTTCGAGGCATCAAGACTGACAACCACCAGGGTTAATACCGTTTCTTGGCTTCCACCATGTTCTCATGATTCTTATTGCAATTGCTATAATATTGCTTTGTAAGTTACGACGAAAGTCTGCCCAAAGACGATGGCTAACAATCTTCCAGCATTGCTACTAGCAGGATGCTCATCCACTTCACCACTCATCCCCGGCATCTTCCTCATCTCCATGTGGTACGAACAGTTCACACCCACCTACGCACCTGAACAGGTCGACCCCGGTGTCACAGCTGCAATTGCCAACATTGTCGGCAACGCACAGCTTGGTGTGCGCGTCGGCTACTTCGGCATCTGCATCAACCGAGACGGCGGTGGCTTCATCTGCTCCAACAATGCCACAGCGCTCGTCGACAACGTGTCCGTTGACCAGGACCCGCTGAACCTTGTCTGGGTTGCTGCTACCTTCAAGGATGCCGTTGTTTTCCCTTACTTGCTCATTGTCGCCATCATCCTCGCCTTCTTCACATTCATCCTCCTTGCCACCTTCCCCGGATGGCACGAGGAGAGAGACGAGCGAACCGGATCTGATGTCGACGTCAAGCCCTTCCCGTCAAGGCCCGTCTCACAAGTCGCTCTTGCGCTCATCTTTATCTCGTCCATCTTCGTCCTGGTTTCCGTACTCTGGCAACATACAGCATCTGTCGCAGCCGCAACCATTGTGCAAGATCTGGGTAACGGCAGCGTCAAGTCCGGTGTCGGTACATCAGCCATGGTTCTTGGATGGTTCGGCTTTGTGCTACTCATAATAGTAACCATCGGGTTGCTCGTTATGATTCTCAGCATCATTGTTCTCGACCGTCTTACCGACAACGACTAAGAGGACCGACACAGCTGCGAATACATTCAAAAAATAATTACGAGAAGATGAGCATTTTGTTGGCGCGATTGTGTAATTTGGTGCCGAGCTTACTCGGCCTTCACTTCTTCAGCTCAGTTACTGTTACATACCCTTTTGGCGACGCGATGGCAGCTTGCTGACCAGAACCGCTTTTTGTTTGGCATACCCGGCGTTGAGGCTTTTGCATCAGATCAATTTGATCCACGAGCGAGTATTGGTATTTAACAAGGATGTTAGACGAAGGAGGAACGACTCGACGGAAAGAAACGCTAGGATGGACTGTATTTATGTAGTAAATGAAACAATGAGAATCGGATACGTCAAGTCAGGAAACTTTTGCCTAATGTTTGGTGATGCTTGTCCGACGGCTGGCAGTGGGAGCGTTTGTGTACAATGTCTCCTTTTGTCCCTTGGACATGCCGGGGTATTCTCGCATCGTGGAGGGGCGAAACGCGGGGAGTAGCGGAGCCGCCAGTCAACCTGCCATTCGCAACCCAAAAGCGGAAAGTCTTCACTCTGCCACCATCAATAGCGCACTCACGCGTTACACCTACGCATACCATGAAGAGATGTCTTACTTCACAAATGCAAAGAGCCTGTCCGAATCCCTCCGACGACCGGCCGCAGCACGCAATTATCGATGGCGCCATGCCTAAGCGAGCCTAGAGCATTTTGTCGCGTCCAAAAAAATTGGTGGGGTTGGCGTGAGAGGGACATCTAGTGCTCTGACTGCTTAAAGCCCGTATAGTCTTTTACTATTGTCCTCCGTTCCTTACTCTTCACTCCCTTTCCAACACAAAACCTACGTTTATTTGCCTGTCATGTCCAGTTACGCGCTCCCCAAGTCCCACCAGGACGTATGTTGCCCCTCACATCACAATCAAGATGCACCCTGCTAACTCAGCATAGCTCATGGAGAAGTCCCTGGTGGAAACCGACAATGAGGTCGCCCAGATTATGGTGAGTCTCTTCTGCTATTCTTTTTATCTTACATTATTTAACAATTCTTGTAGGAGAAGGAAATCCAGCGTCAGCGCGAGTCCATCCTCCTCATCGCCTCCGAGAATGTCACTTCCCGCGCTGTCTTCGATGCGCTCGGTTCGCCCATGTCCAACAAGTACTCTGAGGGTTACCCCGGCGCCCGCTACTACGGTGGCAACGAGCACATCGACTCTATTGAGTTGCTCTGCCAGAAGCGCGCACTCGAGACCTTTGGTCTAGACTCGGAGAAGTGGGGTGTCAACGTACAGTGCCTGAGTGGTAGCCCGGCAAACCTCCAGGCTTACCAGGCCATTATGAGGCCGCACGACAGGCTTATGGGTCTTGACCTGCCCCATGGTGGACATTTGAGCCACGGCTACCAAACACCCCAGAGGAAGTGCGTACAAAACGAGCCACTTATACAGGGGGCGTAGGCTGACCAGAGATAGGATCTCCGCTGTTTCCACATACTTTGAGACTTTCCCCTACCGCGTAAACCTCGACACCGGCCTCATCGACTACGATCAGCTTGAGCAGAACGCCCTCATGTACCGTCCCAAGGTGCTCGTCGCCGGTACCTCCGCTTACTGCCGTGAGATTGACTACGCCCGCATGCGCGAGATTGCCGACAAGGTTGGCTGCTACCTCCTGATGGACATGGCCCATATCTCTGGTCTTGTCGCTGCTGGCGTCAACAAGTCGCCCTTCCAATACTGCGACATTGTCACAACCACCACCCACAAGTCCCTCCGTGGACCCCGTGGTGCCATGATCTTCTTCCGCAAGGGTGTACGCAAGACCGACCCCAAGACTGGCAAGGAGACGCTCTACGATCTCGAGGGTCCTATCAACTTCTCCGTCTTCCCTGGCCACCAGGGTGGCCCCCACAACCATACCATCACCGCCCTCGCGGTTGCGCTCAAGCAAGCCCAATCTGAGGACTTCAAGCTCTACCAGCAGCAGGTCATCAAGAACGCCAAGGCCCTCGAGGTTGCGTTCAAGAGCATGGACTACAAGCTTGTTACCGACGGTACCGACAACCACATGGTTCTAATCGACCTGAAGCCCTTCAACCTTGACGGTGCCCGTGTCGAAGCCGTTCTTGAGCAAGTCAACATTGCCTGCAACAAGAACACCACTCCTGGTGACAAGTCGGCTCTCACACCGATGGGTATCCGTATTGGAGCCCCAGCCATGACCTCGCGTGGTCTTGGTGAGGAGGACTTCAAGAAGATTGCCAACTACATCGACCAGTGCATCAAGCTGTGCAAGAAGATCCAAGGCGAGCTCCCCAAGGAGAACAACAAGCTCAAGGACTTCAAGAGCAAGGTTGCTAGCGGTGAGGTACAGGAGATCAACGACCTCAAGAAGGAGATTGCGGCCTGGGCCGTCACCTTCCCTCTGCCCATCTAAGCCTACATGAAGCTTTTTTCGTGATTGGGCGGCGTACTATGGCGTTTCTTTCTCCAAGCGGGATATGGTGTTTCAACAAAAAGGCAAATTCTGGACTGGCAAATTCAACAGCTCTACCATTTTGGGAATTTACGAGGAATGATATGATTAGGACGATAAAAAGAGATACCTGAAGATTTAGATGCGCTGCTTAACCAGTGGGTCTTAGTCACCAAATGTAAAAACTTGACTCAAACTCTTTGGTATGACTGTTGCATTCATGTGATTGGAGACTAAGAAATCTATGCCGAAACCGGCGGCTCTCACGCCGACTGCCAGGTAATAGCAAACGTGGCAGAGTGGTCTCCACCGGCGTACACAGTTTGCTGTGTGCTGCCAGACGCAACCTTGTCCGCGGACCAGAGCGCGTTACCGCCAGCAGCCAATTTTCCGTCAGTGTTGGTAAAAGCAGTCGCGCTTGCAGAGCCATCGCAAGATAGCGCTCCAGCAACGACTGCGCACTTGCCCTTGGAGCTCGACAGGGTGAAGCCATTGTCCACGTCGGTAGCTGTGAAAGTCGCACATGTTCCGGTCGTGTACCAAGTACCCTTGCTGATGATGCATCCCTTCTTGACTCCGTTGACAATGACATTGAGGTTACCCTTGCCACTGAAAGGTGCTCCAGGCGCAGCAGTAGATGTCGGCGCAGGTCCTCCAACGGTCGTAGTGGTAGAGGGAGGAGACGAGCTTGCATTCTTGGGAATGTACTTGATTCCTGTCTGAGGGCAGGTAGACTTGGTACCATCAGGGTCCGAAGCAACAAACTCGCCAGTCTGTACACTGCCACGAACATCGTAATGGTACCAGATCTCGTTGAGCGCGCCAGACTTGCAGCCTAGCGTTACCTCGACACCGGGCCTCTTGGCCTGGATGGCGCTTTGAATGGCGGCGAAAGTGTATGTCTTGGTTGTGCTGGGTGTGATACCAGCTGCGGCCAACCACTCGTAACTTGGTAGCGTTTTGAATAGGTCGACGGTTTTTTGGAAGAAGTCGACAACTTCCTCTGTTGCTTTGTGGTCGTTGTAGCACTCGGGTTCTAGCGTGGAGATGCAAGTGCCGTGCTTAGCCCACTCGTGGTACCAGAAGGACTCGTCGTCACCTTGGTAGTCCTTCCAGTAGGTGGACATGTAGGAGAGGAGGTCGGTTGCGCCAAAGGAGTTGAGGATGGCGCTGATGTTGGAGTAGGCGCGCGACGAGTCGCAGTTCGCGTCGTAGGTACCGTCACAGCGGTCAGGCCTGGACAGGATGGTCAGCATTCATGCATAGTGAATAGGAACTGAAGGGCAATCGTACCATAGACCATGAATTGTCCAGCTATCCTCTGGTCCGGTAGCAGGCGAAGCATCCCAGAACTGCGTCTGGAGGATCTGTCCACCTGGGGCGTTGAAACAACAGAGGTTCTCCACGACAGTGGTGTTGTGGCAGCTCAATTGAGCATTCGGGCAAGTCTGGGTATATTCGCCCATAACGCGTCCTCCATTGCCGAGGATGACTTGCGCACCACCAAGCGCAATCTTGCTGAGAGTCCTGAGAGAAGGCATGGCTGTTGATTCTGCTGCCAGCATTTCTGCCGTGGAAGCAGCCGCGTTATGTACTCTATCCCTCGCGGCTCCGACTAGGGAGTCTAGCATGGCCGGCATGTTACCGCTCGCCTTCTACTACTGCAAGGACGGAGGAGATAATTTGGCGCTGTGCAACAAGAATACACAAGCTTTTCGCGGGTCGATCCCTCCCGTAACGGCAGCTCAGATTACACGCCTTCACGTTGTTGTCGCTGATTCGTAGACAGCGAATACACTGTGCCTCGATGCGGAAGGTCGGTTCTTTAGTCTAGTCCGTCGCCGCCGGGTCCAAAGCCGTAGATGCGTCAACGGAGAGCCCGAGGTGTCTTCTGGGCAAATCGACTGGTGGAAGAGGTTCGGAGTGTAGCCAGGTAGTGCGGAGGTGTACTATGGGATGGCCGGAGACGGCGCTGGGGATGGGTGTTTATGGGGGATGAAAGGGACAGACGACATAGCCACTCATGGCGCAGTACGAGGCATCACGCTGGGCGAGGTCACGCAGGGCCGCGTTTGGGGCATCATGGTGATCGGCTGCCCGGGGACCAGTCAGAGGGCGTCTCATGGCGAATGTGATGGGTGCACGTGTGACGCGTGCCTGGCGATAAGACGACGATTGCGTTAGAGCAGGAACGGGGCGGACCCTGCGGCTTATCAGCATGGAGCACTAGCCGAGAAGGGGTGCGCATCAAGATTGCTCGGCGTAGTCCGACCTTCTGACTTTCGCTTTAGAGCTCACGCTACAACCACATCTCTTTTTGCCCGTCGTTCCACATGCTCTTTCTTTCTCAAAATCGACTGCTGTTCATTCTTTGCCCCACGTCATAACCCATGCTCAGTACGTTTTGTCGATATATTATCTAGGTAAATCTCCATGGATCCCTGTCAACGCCTTTGTATCGTCTCTTACTTAGCTTTGGTATAACCTGCACTGAGTAGCTTGTTCATCGCAAATCCTCCACTTCCTTGCCTTCTCATCTCTCTGGTCTATTGCTTCGCGTTAAAGTCACTTTCACAAAGGGACCACTTCATATAGCATCTGTCTGGAACAAGTTTGCGTGGGCAAGTAGCATTTTGTCTTATTTACATATTGTATTTACGAGAAAGAAATATCGCTCGAATATCCAAAGTAAAATTTCTCAAATCCACCAGCCACAGAACTAGAGTGTCTGCGTTTACGGGTAGGTGGTGTACGAGCACTTGACAGGGTTCTCCTCCTTGATAGCTCGAGCAGCGAACCCAAGGCACTCATCAGCTCCAGCCGGGTTGGTCACGCCATCCAGCCAGACGGAGTAGCCGCCATTAAGAGAAGGCTTGCAGGCCTGGAAGCCAATCTCCTGACCAGTCTGGTCCTTGAAGACGAGGTGACCGTCGTCGTTGATGGCAAAGGTTCGCCTCTCTCCGTTCTTGACCATATCTTGTACGCCAGTGGTGTACTGAATGACGCCCTGACCCATGCCTGATCTGTCAACGAACATCTGCTGGGGAGGGTTGGCAGTGTAGAGGTAGAGGGTGCCGTTGTTGAGCTGGAAGGAAGCGTAGTTGTGGGGCTCCGGGCCGCAGGAAGCATTCTGTTGGCCTGCGTTGATCACGAGAGAGTTCTGGACAGCCTGAATAGTGTTGTACTGTAGATCGGCGGTGCCTGAGCGGATGGTTTGGATTGTGAAAACATCGCCGTCCTTGATCTTGGAGTCGGTAGGGAGAGCAGTGGCGAGGCCAGCAGCAGAGGCGATGACAGCGGCGGTGGTGAACTTCATGATTATAGTTGGAGTTTTGATGTGAAGTGTTTTAGGAATGGGTGTTTGTAGATGTAGTGTTGATATTTGATTGTGTTTGAGTTGAATGATGACCTGTAGAGACAAGACCATCAGGCGTTATATACACAGCAGCCTCGTATTCAACCTCATCACGGTCCTGCCGGCGAAACCCCAACAATACAACGACATGAGGTCACATTCGATCTGAACACGAGCGTGGGTCCATAGAAACTTCCATGTTCCCCATATTTTGAACCTCGGAAACCAATGCGCCACAGTCGGTTCCTGCTCAGGGTCGTGCGAGGACCATTTCTCCGAGATTCTGGGCAGGAGTCTGTGGAGCATCTGCATAGACGTCGGATGGAATGTGTCGAAAGTGACGCTGCGGTGGCCAAGTTAGCGGGCCGATGAGTGCGAGTAATTAGCTGATGCTGGCTAGCCGCTGCCAATTTTGAACCAACCCCACACCCCGACACGACCCGATTTGCTAGTCGAACGGCCGCTTGACAATAATAGATTGCATGACCGAGTTTCCTCACGGACGGACAGAATAACAGTGGGATGGGCGACACTTGCTGTCATTCCTCGTGTTCTCTCGGCTTCAATGCTTCGTGGCCGTGTAATGGAAAGGGGCTGGCAACCTTGGAACCCTGGAACGATGCAACCCAATGGTAATAAAGCGGATCGGCTTTCATTACTACCTTTGCACCAAGCTGCACACGGCAGTACAACCCCTCGTTCTCAAAAGCTTCGATGCAATTGCTCAATTCGAAAGTGCCAGCTCAGTACTCCGTACCTACCTAGGCAATCGCCCGGTTGACGATAGCCAGACTCATGGATATACATTGGAGTGGCACAAATGCTGCATGCAAGCGTCGTTTGAAACAAGAGCAAAGGCCAAATTCTACGAGATAGGAGTTGTGAGGCAATTATCGTATTTCCAGTTTACGTACCATCGCCAGGCGCCTTTCCAACATCGAATCCTCCGTCTGCCAGCTCGGGACTGAGCAGTTGGAACGACAGAACACCAAGCGAGGTTCGCCACACCCCTTTGCGTCCACAGTCGTCGGCTCACGTTCCGATATCTCGTGTACATCACGTTACTCCGTCTTCATGGCCTTGTAGCATGCCACTTTCGGCTTCGCGACGTCACTCAGATCCAAAGTGTGGATTTCTGTCAAACTAAGAGCAAGCTTGTTCGTAAAATCCGGAGGGTGTCCGACAGCCTTGAGTAGCAGGTTTGCTTTGTTCGTATTCAGACCCACCACGGAACGTCGAACTGCACAAGCGCCATTAGCTACCCAAGGAATAGTTCGGTTAGTGACATTATACCCTCACTCCTTGTCGATGACAGTGGTCTGGAAGTTTGAACATCCTTCAGGTGTGATTGTGACGGACATCTAGATGAACGAGGTATCTCTTATGCTTCTGCGAATAGAGGTAAGTGTGCTCTCATGCATCATGAACCTTGCTTTTTTGGACATCGACGATGACGAAAGCGGTGTCGTAGTTCACGGTCTGAATGGAAGTGAAGCAAACCTCCTTCGATCAGATATCAGGCTGTCGGCTTCATTGTAAGCCTCGAAGTCTAGCCTCGGTAGGAAATACTTGTGCAATGTAGTGAGGGGTAATGACCCTTGTATTGCACCAAATGATGGATGAGCGTGATTTAGTAGGTTGCAGGTGTACTTTCCCGAGCTGACCTAGGTACCTAGGTAGTCTTTTGGGCTGTGTCTTTCTTACCAACGCCTTGCAGGTCCACTGCATTGGTAAATGTGCTATCGTACTCACTGCTGTAAATCCGTGTCCTGATGTCTTGTCTTCTATAACATTTTTGAAAGAGCGTGGAGCGCTATTATGTGTAGCTTGCAGGACCAACTGCGATCGGAATCTGTAGCAATGGCTAGTTTCACAAGAACGGAATTGAAGCTTCCATCTTTTTCATGTCGACAGTATCTAGAGAAGAAGCCTTACCCAATATCTATCGGCTATATCTGCTTATGTTATTCCCTGCTCATTACTATTCATGTATGAGTAAGTAGTATAACAACTATTGACTAGGTACGCAATTATTATTTCTAAAACTGAACACAAAGGGTATATCACAATCTGTCGCAAACAATTATTGATAATCAGAGTTATACAAGGGAACGGTCGTCTGAGAATATATAGCGAATCGTTAGGATGCATCTCTGCACGGAACTATTTGGAGCGTTGTCTGCGAAGCAAACCATGCACTACCCCTCTAAATATTCTACCACTTAGCCATTTCTCATCCTGCTTTTAACACGACGTTTTCATAAAAATACCACAGCTCATCAATTGATACATGATGGCCATAGTCCAAATGCCGGGTTTCATCTCAATCTTATGATACCTAGGTACAGAACAGCCGTTCAAGCGGTCAGACCCACGGACAGCCGCTCATTCCTCAGTCTTCGGCGGTATAGCCCATAACAAGGTCTTACCAAAGGGTGTCAATTTCGAAAACATGGCTATACGAAGCGCAGAGGTGTGCCAGCAATATCGGCATTATACGCGCATCGTCTGGAGCGATGCAGTGCCCGGATAGCACGGAATCAACATATTCTAGCACTTCCAAACTTCTGAAACCCTCCCAAGGTCCACTCGAGCACTCGATTCTATTAAATTGCCAGACTCGAGCCTTGTCCTTGGATGATCTTTCAAAAGCAGCCGGTGTTAGAGTTTCAGGATGCTGGCTATCTGTGTTGAGTTGTCCCACATCGTCCGGCCAAGAGTTACAAAACAACACCGCGTTCACGTACCAGCAATGACGCGTTATGGTACGCTTCAGAGCTTCCGAAACCGCGTGAATCGATATAAGAGACATGCGTCTTGTTCTCAAGGACACTCATCTTGCGTTGGACACGTAGGTTCTGCTGAAGAGGAGGACTTGAAGCGATAGAGTTGGACGCGTGATCACCCCCGCCTGACACATTGCAACACGTCATCAGTTCAGCATCACGCTGGCTGACAAGATCAAGAAGGTACCCCTAAACTTGTGTGTACGTTTGCGCAATACCTATAGAAAAAGGGCACGTATTCATTCTCCTTACAAGTACGTGTTGAGGCGGGTTGTGTTCGAGGTGTTGACGCGCAAGCGAAACACCATGGAAGGCGGCGGATGGCGCGATACAGGTATCGCCGAAAACACAACCATCAAGAGCGGAAACGAATTAAATGAACATAGTAAAATAATGGAAAATGTACTGCTTTGCATAAAGTGCGAGATCAATACGAAAAGAGAAAAAAGGATAGGCCTGTAGTGACATATCTCTACGATAGATGTCGAGTCGTCGAAAGCAGAGGATTGCGCATGAGCTCGTCGAGGCGCAAGATGCTCCTATTGCACCCTCTCGGATAGAAGGGTCCTGGTAAAACAACAAGGACTGAGCTTTGGCATGATTGAAGTGCCAGGCCACGACTGCTTGCAGTCAGGCTCCTAGCAGGCGTTGGCGACTGATCAAGCGTCACGACGACAAGAAAGAGCGACTTGAGGCGGAGGAGATGGGGTGAGGGTCTGCGCTTCCGAAGGGCAGACTGGATAGACCCCCAGAAAATCGAACTGACAGGAGCCGCACTGCGCCCAGCCAGCGTAGGCGGCAGTATTGCAGCATGAGATCAAACTGAAGCGCATCTTGATCAGGACTGGAGAGTTAGCGCCTTTGGGTTGGTGATCTGAGTGCGGCGATTTTGATCCCTGAAAAGTATAAGAACGGCGCATACCCCACCCGCCGCGTGCTTGCCCCAACTCAGCGACTTCGTGACTTTCTACAACCACAATCTCCCCATCGATTTTCTCGCCTGCCCTCTCGTTCGAAGCATCAGTAACGCGTCTATCTTCCCATCTAAATCATTACCAACAATGCCTCCCAAGAAGAACACCACCCCTTCCAAGGCAAAGGCGCCTGCCGCCGCGCCTGCCCATGGCTCCTACATCGGTATGTGCTATGATATCTCAACCCAACGCGGTCGCGTTGGTTGCCAGATAGTCGCGTCTTTGTCGCCGGTCAATGCTGACTCTATTAGACATGGTCAAGGATGCTATCATCAACGTGAGTCTATCCCAGGCGCATTGCCCTGCACATGACTTTGCGACAGCTTGCGCCGCCAACTCTGGCGCGAAGCCCAACAACACATAACGTTCCTTCATTGAGTGAATATGATTACTGACGCGCTCTATGCACAATACAGCTTAAGGAACGCAATGGATCAAGGTTAGTCAATCCACCACCCACATGCCGTCGCTCATGCGTCGCGTCATGCTTTTGCCTGGAAGCATCCAAGACTAAGAGCTCTCGCTAACTTTGCGCCAACAGCCGTCAAGCTATTCAGAAATACATTCGTGCCAACAACAAGGTCGAGAATGTCACCGATGCCGCCTTCAGGAGTCACGTTAACCGCGCCATAACTTCAGGCGAGGAGAAGGGTGACTTCGCGCGTCCTAAGGGTAAGTGACCACCTTCCTGTCCATTTGTGGCGCAACGCCACGCTCCCGACGCGTCGTTGCTGTGCATCTGCAGCAAAGACACTATGATTCAAATTGAACTTTGCTGACGCGTCATTCAGGCACGTCTGGACCAGTGAAGCTTGCGAAGAAGGAGGCCAAGCCTGTCACTGCCACCGCTACCAAGAAGTCTGAGCCCAAGGCTGAGAAGAAGACCACTGAGAAGAAGGTCACCGAGAAGAAGACCGCTGAAAAGAAGACCGAGAAGAAGACTGAGAAGAAGGTCGCCGAGAAGAAGGCTCCCGCTACCAAGAAGGCCACCACCACTGTAAGTACATGCCTACTATCAACAGTGCCTTGCTGATTCTAATTGTAGAAGGCTAAGGCTACTACCACCGCCACCAAGGCTGCTCCCAAGAAGGCCGCCGGCCGCCCAAAGAAGGCTACCACCACAGCTGCTGCCACCAAGGCTGCTCCTGCTGCTAAGCCCAAGGCCAATGCTAGCAAACCCCGCAAGACTGCTCCAACCACTGCCGCCGCCCCTGCCGTCGAGGAGGAGGTATCGCGCGTTCTAGGCAAGACCAAGTCTGGCCGTGTCACCAAGACCAAAGCTCCCGCCGCAGCCAAGGCAACAAAGAAGGCACCAGCAGCAAAGAAGACTGCTGCGGCGAAGAAGGCCACCACACCGAAGAAGAAGGCCACACCTAAGAAGGCCACACCAAAGGCCAAGGCATGAGCTTTATAGCTCAAGCTTTTTCGTTCTGGTTGGTCTTCTTTTTTTTTTTATTATGCTACCGTGAGTTCGCTCCGGAGCGTACGCTAGACGACATTTTCTTCACGGATTCCCTTTGTCTCACTGCTGGTCTATGGATTCTATAGGAGGGCGCGGTTCTACCACGGGTGAATGTGGGTAAGGAAGGCCCACGGTGTTCGTCTCTGACTCTTTCATGTCGGGTATATCATGTTGGCCAGGCGTTCGGGCGCGTGTCTGTCACTGCGGATGGATGTCTACTACTACTGTCATTGTTCTTTTCAGTGTCGCAATCTGGCGTTATGGGAGGATAGCTACGACGTCATGCTATTGTCTCAAACAATGGAAACCAATACATACTTCAAACATGCGCGTTTGTGAATAGGGTGAACTTGACGCGTTGTTGTGAGCTGACGCGTGAGTGCTTCAAGTCATGTGAGGGGTATGAGTGGGTCTCTGATAAGATAGCTTACTTGGCCAGGTATTCTCACCCCTCCGGTGTCACTGGATAGCCTTCCGAAACAACTCTAAGGTGGCACCCCGCTCTCCGTGCCAGTAATCGGGGTCGGGTAAGCTTCGAGCAACGCTCGATTCTCTCTACAGGGATTCCACTTTAAAGGTCTAAACAAGCTCCCATGTGAAGGGTTTCTAGCGCCTGGTAGCGCGGTGTGCCTGATTTAGGCGTCGCGGTTGCGCCTTCTAAGGACAAGAAGTCGAGAGGAATTCGGGGGCCCACTGCGACATGGCAAAAGCTTCTTCACACTACGCGAGCGACGTGTTGTGAGTCAGAACAATATCAGTGGTGATTGCGTAGGGAACGCACCTAATTGACGGATGCTTTCCGCGCCCAGAAGGGCTTCGTGCGAACCGCGCCGCAACTGCGGCATCACGTCAAGGGACATTACAGAGTAAACGCTGTCCGCATCTCACGCCAGCATCTTTGCCGAGCCCAATCCTCAACGACGTCTCCATTACCTAGACACAAAGCTTAAGTTGAGGGATTCTAACGCATCCTAATAGCTGTCGACAGCCTTGCACGGTACGACTGCAATGCCATATTTGTTGTGAGCATAGCCGCTGTATCTGGCGTCGCTAGGTGTCGGGAGTGTATCTAGGTAACGTATCCCCGGCTTGACTCGGCCCCCGGCAGTCACATCCACGATACTTAGGTAGGTACCAAGCAGAGATGTCTAGTGCTTTGATACGATGAACCGACAGATCAGTTGTGGCAGGTGCTGAGCTAAAATCCGTCCTATGTCAATGTGACCATGATTATTTACATGCCCAAATGTATTGATTAAGGCTACCTATTAAACCCATGGCCTCGACTCTTCAAGGTTACATGCAACTTGAGAAAACCTCTTTGATTTCTCGATAATCTACCCAATATCTACTACCTAGGTAGTGACCAATGTAGACGTCTGTGCGACTGAAGGTAAACACTCTTGATATTCCGCCAAAATGCTGTATACTAGAGAGCAAAGCAGTATGCTCAACCCTCTTCCATTTCCTTTTGATATGCAGCAACACCCTTGCGAACAAGAATGTTTTCTGCTGGCTTTCTGGCGTTTTGAAGGGATTTACCCAAGTCTTCCACAAATCCTTGATGAAGGTAACGAAAGCAAGAGAAGATAAATTCGATAGGTAATTCAGTCCACATGTCTGTGACGAGTCGTCTGGCAGGACTGCCTACAGGTGTGCCATTGTAGACCGCGTTGACTACATCATATGAGGGGCCTCCCGTTGAACCGTCGATTCCTATCAATCCAGCAGTGGCCAGTGCAGCTTCCATCATGGCGTTCTTTGTTGTGATGTCTTGGAGCTTCTCACTGAGCACGAAAACGCTGAAGATGATCTCGTATAGGTCTTCTACATGATATGCAAATTTGTCCTCCGTAAGCTTCTTTAACTCCGACGTGGTCTTACTTGTAGTAGGTAGCTGGCCAGTATAAACATAGTTGATGTAGCAGGCGAACGTTTTGGCCGTGTCGTCAGGGAGGTTGATGACGCGTGTTTCTGCTTCTTTCCAGTTACCATTCATGGCACGTCGGAAAAACTCCGAACGGGTAGTGAGAAAAGATTCGTGTGCGATAAAATCCTCGGTGTTTGGGGCAGTTCCCACGCGTATAGTGACTGCCGAGATCGACTTGAAGCTACAGGTACAATATTAGTCTCGCAATCGCTTGTGGCATGTTCTGGTATCATCTTCTTACCTCATGTTACTTGACTTGTTAACTTGGGTAGTTTTCGGCTTTCCCATGATGATTTAGACAGATTTGGGCGTTGTCGTGACCAAGAAACCTTGAAGTAAGAAGATCGAAGTCTCCAATCGCGAGATTGACTCACCTAAACATGGAGATGACCCATGTACAACAAAAAACAGTGGTGAAGGTGAGAAGAGGGATGGGGTGAAAGCGCGTCCACTGTCAGTTGCAGTACTTACTTCACCTTCATGACCTGCGGTAAGGAAGGTATACGTTGCTAAGAACTGAACCAAAGCCTGTGGTACTATTGACAACCCTAGTCTTCTTATCTCTTATTGAACTGGACACATACCTCCATAGACGAGTTGTGGAATGGTTGTTATCATGGCGGAGATAGCTGAAGCGTTTCTTACGCTTGTGTACACAATCGAAATCTCATTGTTGGGTCTGCCTGATAACGGTCAACTGACTTTCTGCGTAGACCAAGTGTTCATGGAGAGCAATGCACTGTTTGAAATGTGGTATCAATAGTTCGTCATCTATCCAACCTCTACTCTACGTACAAGATGTTCCAACGATGGAAAGAGCTCAACTGACTATGTGACCCCCGCTAGCAGTCTTAGCCCTTAGAAACGCCTCGACGTCCTTGGCACTTGTCGCGTCAATCTGACGGTCCATCTCCAGCTCCTGTGGACTCTTCACCCTCTCAGGTTCCTCAACCTTCTCCTCCTTATGTCCGCCAACGGCACCAGTTACGGCTTCTGCAGCAGAAGTGGCAGTGGAAGTGACTACAGCGGAGGCTGATATAGCAGCTTGTTTAGCTTGGTCTAAGTAGCCCGGAGCAGCGGGTTCTTCACGATCAGGGAGTGGTACCTCTTTCGGTGCTTGACCCACAGTGTTGGGCTCCATCGTAACTGTCTTGTCTCCATGTCCATGGTCGACAACTGCTGCGTCGGGTGTTCCATCTGCGAGCTGACCCGATGCGTGTGTAAGGTTCTGTTGCTCGTATCGTGCCTCGGATGTGCCTTCACGGATCGGTAGGGTTGTGGTATTTGGTGGTGAGCTCATGGAAGGGCGCGACTCGGTGTCTGAGGGAGGTGTATCAATATCTGGCTCGTTGGTATCGGGAGGATGCGTAGCCGTTCCCACGGTTGTGAGAGGGTCACCGATCTGTGTTGCGGGTGTAGGTGGCATTAAATCCCCCTGTTTGTATCCTACAGGCTTCGGAATGGAGAAGATGAGCTTTCTTCGTGGTGCTCCATTTTCACTGCCAACACCCCAGGCTTGCATCTCACCATCCTGCCCTTCCTCCCACTTTATTGGCCCGATAGGGAACGTCTTGCGCCCATCCTGGGTATTTGGATTCTCCCACTTCATTTGCGCCTCGATGGCTGGCTCGAGGTTTGGCAGTTGTCCCCATTCGAAATCGAGACCGCCACCGTATTTCTTCGGAATGTTGTCGTGATCGATATATTGGGAGAGTGTGGAGTAGACGTTCTGCGGGGAGAGGATAAAGATCTTGGAGACGGTGATGGGATCAAACCAACGCTTGACCCAACCCCAGACTGTGGGAAAGAAGCCAGGCGCTCCGACGATCTGTGACACTGTTAGTCCAACCTGAGTCATTCGCAGAACACCTCATAGACATACAAATATCCTATCCAACGTCTCGGGATAGTGTGCCGTGGCTAGCACGGAAGCATCTTGCATGTGGCCTTTCAGATTCCAGAACTGCTTCAACCCGACGCCACTGATATCCACAATGTTGTTGCTCTGCGAGATGGGCGTCTCCGGGTGGTTGCGAGGGACCATGGAGCATAGTGGCGTGTAGAATCTTGTGAGCGACTCGTATAGGGCGAAGAGACGCAGGTTCTTAGTTGCGACATTAGGTATGGTCGTCTTTGATTTGGCGAGTTGTTTCTCGTAAGCGGAAATGTTCTTCGAGTTCAACGGTGCAACCTCGAAAAGGAAGAGAGGGATGCCGCGTTTGTCGCGTCGGCCGAGCCATTGCGGGTACTACGTGAGGCTGTCAGACAGGACAACAGCGCATGTTTGTGGGACTGTCTACCAGGCGGCGCGTTTGCTCATACTCTTCGATCTCGATAGTGTTGAAGATTTCGCTTAGCTTGTTCTCTTTCCGCCAGTCCTCCGTGTCCTTGAATTGCTTAAAGGCTTCCTGAGGAACAAAACGACGCGCGCGCAAGTAGCGCCTGTAAGCAGTCAGTGTCCCGCTAAATTTACTAACTTCGCGTTTTGCGCATACAGCATGGTCTCATCGTCATGGCTGGCTTGCTTCCCCCCAGCTGCAGGTGTGTAATAGCCTGCCTGTTGGCAGATGTTTTTGAACTCGAGCAGCTGGGCCTGCTGGTTCTCGGTAAGATGAGAAAGATGCCCCGCAGGGTACTGCATCGACTCTACTCTACTGAGGTCGGCCATGGTGGTATATGATAGGAAAAGTAAGGATGCAGGTTAACCAGGCCAAAAGAAAGGGAGGAAAAGTAGTGAGCCAGACCGTTCGGTTCTAGGGCGTCATGTTTATGGTAATGAATGCGGCGGTGCGGCAGTGACATCAACTGTGGCTGCAGATCGGGGCTCGCGGAGAGCGAGATTCGGCAACGGTTACGCGCCATCCGGACCAAATGTGGAAAAAAACATGTGAGGCTTTTGCTTGTCTGACTGCCGTGCTTGAATCGTGTCTTTCGCACTGATCACAATGAGTCCATAGTTGTTTTGAGCGTGTCGCGATTCATTTCCGCTGGGAGCCGCCGGAGGTTCGCCAAGAAACTTCTGCTGACAATGATGACTTTACATGCCGGTGACTTGCTATGCAGCTGTCAGCATGGACAAGTCTAAACTACGTACCATATGGACGTATGTTTTTTTGGCGGGGTTATTAAGTCTCGTTCTTCCTGCTAAAACTTTGCTACTATCAAGAGTACCGTAAGTTCTATGGTTTACTGAGATGATGGAATTTTAAGTTTGACTACATTCGTTTTCTGTATATGACTGAGACGTGTTTGACTTGCTTGAGGAATGAGACGTTGGTTTGGTTCAGTCCATGCTCGTCCAGCCGCGAGTGTATATGTTGAGCGGCGAAACGATATAGAGAACAGGCGTTGGAGGTGCGTTATCGCGATTTAGCTGCCGAGGCTAGTCCATGTTAGCGAGCAATGCGCGCATCAGCGGCCATGTTCCAATGTTGACGCCGCGGGACATCATACTACGCGCCCTCGCCACGCCTGAAGGCTATTCATCATTGCGCTCTCGCATATCTTGACGCCTCCCTCCGCGACTCGACTCTTGCTCGAAAGCCGTCGACTTGCCTCAGCCCGCAAACTTGCAACGGCTGCTAGCCCACCATCAGCATGGAACGCCCCTCCTTCACTGGCCTGCCGACCGAGATCCTCGAAGCCATATTTCTAAACCTCGACCCACGATCCCTCGCGTCCGTTTCGCAGACCAACAAGCTCATCAAGGAGCTCACTACCGATGCGCCCATCATCTGGCGACATCTATGCAAGTCGCAATTCAAGACATGGGACTCTCGCCACAACATCATCGCCAAGTTTGCAGCCCCATTGTCTGATGTCGACTGGCGCGCGCTGTACATGACCAAGCACACCATCGAGCGCCACACAAGAAAGCTGTTGAATCACATTGTGACTAGTCAACAAGAGCGCATACGGTGCATCAACGAAATCGCAGAGTTCGGATACGATGCAAAGGAGACGCTGTTGAAGGAATGCGCATGCCCCGACGACACAGAGGATGTTCTAGCGAGACGTTACTACGCCAATGCCGTACTTGAGCGCATACATCGCGAGGTCGCCATCAAAGTCTGGACGGATTTGCACAACGGCAAAGACATATCCATCGAGAGAGCCCTGGGCGCATACGACGTATTCGCAAGAGTTGGAGAGGATGTTGACGTTGACGTGGTGGCCGAGGATATCACTGCATTAGCCAATCGACTGCTAGAAACATATCCTGATTTCCGCAGTTGGAGTCCTCGAAGACAGGCTTCAACGTTGGCATCCTACCTCCGCGACCAAGGCTTCCAAGGTGTCACGGACACATCCTACCGCGCCCTCAGAAATTCCTTCATCGGACTTGTCATACGCTCAGCCAATCACCAATCTCTTCCCCTCATCTCAGTTGCCATCTACTGCGCAGTGGCACAACGGATCGGCCTTGATGCACGACCTTGCGGGTTCCTCTTCCATGTCTACACACTTGTCTACGCGCCTAGAAACTATAATCTTGATGGCGAGTACAAACCGACAAGCTCAACAGAGCTCGACTACATGTACTTGGATCCGTTTCGCTCTTCTTCCGAAGTAAGACAAGGCGATCTCCAGCGGGTTCTACGCGACATGGGTGTTCCCAGCAGCGAACACCGAGGCTTCCTTAGTGATACCAACACTCGAGAAATGGTGATGCGTACCGCACGCAATATCATGAATTCTGTCCAGACAATCCGCGAGACTGAAGCTGGATCGCGCAGAATCGAGGCCTCGTGGATGAACTCACAACCAGACATGGATAATGCTTTCTACGCAACAATCTGGGCCATGCTGCTACTAGGTCCTAATGACGATAATCTTAACGCAAGCCATACGGCAATTCGGCGCCGTCAATATCTGCCGTACCTGCTCGAGCATTTCCAGATGCACTACCCATGGGATGTGACGTTGCTATCACGCTACGTCATCCCTATGTTTTACAATCAGCCAGAGGGCCACCGATTACTTCAATTCGTGCAGAGCATGCACCAGGTCGATGCGATGCGTAAGCCTGTCATTCATCGTTCCGAGCGCACGCAGGACGTCGCGTTCAAAGTAGGCCAATTGTTTCAACATAAGCGTTACGGGTATGAGGGTGTCATCACAGGCTGGGATGTTGTCTGTGACGCCAATGAGGATTGGATCCAGAATATGCGTGTGGATTCTCTATCAAATGGCCGGAACCAGGCTTTCTATCACGTACTGTAAGTTCATCTTGTCTTGCCTCTATTGTATTGTGCTGACCCCTGTAGTGTCTGCGACAAATCTGTTCGTTATGTTGCTGCTGAGAACATCCAGCCTGTTAGTACGGACACGTACCCTTCAGAAGCATTGCTGAAACTTGCTGGCCGTCACTTCAAACGCTGGGATGATGCAGATCATTGTTTTGTGAGTAATGTGCGAGACGAATACCCAGAGGACTAGAGATGTCGCTGGAATCGAGTCGAAAAGTTGAAACTTTCAAATACATTGTATTATTAATTTATTACGTTGATGATCGAGTGTCATCGTATTGTACACTACACTCTTATGCTTAGCCTAATCCTGTCGAGCTTAAATTGAAAAGCGAAAGACAAGTATGTAACAGTTCTAAAACTCCAATGTAATTGCTGCGAAATAATCGCCACATCTTCACTCTCTCACTTCTTTCCTTTCCCTTGCATGAAGCGGTCTAGGTTTTCCTCCAGAAAACCATTCTCTGCCAACATTTCGAGCCACTTCTTGATGACTGGACCAGAATCGTACCGCCGTTGCGTAGCCTTCAAATTCTCTTCTGCTTCATTTTGCATCTCCATCATGATGTTCGCGGCTAGTTGATTAGCTTCCGCTAGCAATAAACTACGACGAGCGAGGAGTTGAGTCAAGTCTTCGCTGTCGATGGTCGTTTTGACAGTAGGAGAAATGGGGCTATCGGCTAGATGTTCCTCGAAGCCTAGCATGTGAGGATCAGGCGGCTGTTCATTTGCGTCAACAAGGTTTCTCCAGTCTTGCGATGCAGCAGCAGAGACGTTGTCGAGGCGTGCGTCAACGTGCGAGAGAGTGTTAATCGTCAGACTAGCGTTCTTGCGTAGTGAAAGCAGAGGAGACTGTGTCAGCGCAATAACACCGTAGTCGTCATCTCCAGCTGCCATGAGGGCAGAAATTGTGTTGGAAACTGACTCCAACCACGTCTCTCCCTGCTGGGGGTCAAAAGAGCCCATACACGTTGGCTGCTTATCCAGGCCATCCAGTTTCCAGACCTCGTTTCCAACAGGTACGAAAGCAATATAGTGATGTGCGTTGTCTTCAACGCTCTCTGCACTATCATTGCTGACCACAGTATCGGCAGAAGCAGCGCGACGCGACTTGCTTCCTTTCTTGGTAGGTTTGGCCTTCTCTGACAGCAATTGGGCCTTGACGCGCTGAGCGCGCTTGACTTTATAGCTGAGATGTTTGTCCCCCTCGAGGATATCCATCTTCTTCGCAAAAGAATTGTGAATTTTCTTTACAAAGTCGAAGCTCGCAAAGGCCTCGCCGCGCTGATACGGTGACAAGTCCTGTGTGAAGTCCTTGAATTGCGTTAGATGCTCTCCAATACGTATATCGGCCTCGTGGCTCTGGTTCATTAAGATGTTGATCATGGCAAGTGTCGCACAGCTGTTTTGAGCAGGCAATTGGTTGGCAAACCAGACATCCTTGGGACACTCCGTGGCCTGGCCGTCGTTGCCAAACTCGCGGTAGTGGAAAAGGAGGATGAAGCCGTAGATGGGTTGGGGAATGTTGACAAGAAGGAATTCTGGATCCATACTGAATACTTCGCGTACAGTAACATCGCGAACACCCATCTCACGCAGGATGACAGAGAAACAGGCGGGTTCACTTTCGATGTCGCAGAATCCCTGCCAGTTCGCTTTGTCAAAAGCAGTCGCAGGCATGTCGGCTGGACTGGGGAATACAGGTGCTGTTACGGCGCCGTTCTGGGTTGACAGTGGCGTTGGTGAGTCTTTTTACTTTTTACTGATGGGCTCGGAAGCTGTATCAGGTTCGGGCAGGCCTCGCTTCTTGGTGTTGGAAGGGGATACCTTGGAAATCTTGCTTGGGGACCCGGAGCCATCATGTGGCTCAGTGGTAGGGTCCTCCTTGGTCTTTTCTGTGATTGAAGGGACTACTTCAGCAGCTTGGTCTACTGAGTCTTTGCTTGGCATTGCTTGTTGTTGTGTCCCATCTTTAATCTCAGGACTGGCCTTGAGATCTGAGGCGGAATCGTTTTTCATACTGAGAGATTCGGGTTGAGAGGATTTTATCGTGGGTTGTAAATCAGAGTTAAGGTGATTTAGGTGTGTATGTGGACGTTGGGCGGTTGGAGGAAAGGAAAGCAGACTGGCATTGTGATGGAGGACCTGCAGACGAAGCACCGGTACTTTGATCAATTGCGTGACTAGAAAAAACAGTAGGAAGCGAGCTGGGAATAATGTAAAATAGAGGTGAAAGCAAAGGGCAGTGTGGTGGTCGAGGTCGGGGTGCCAGCACGTGACGAACTCGGCGTCATCGAGCTCTGATTGGTCGATGACGCCGCAGCCCGCATCCTTGTCGCGCTCGTCGCGTAGGCTCTAGGTAAATGTTTGTTTGATGGTTTCACGTCCACCGACAAACCCTCCAGCGCAACACACGCGATCGACGCCGACCGAAAACGTCGTCACTCCCGTCACATCCTTCAACCCATGATCACGATATAGCCAAGTCTTGACTTCTGGGTGCGATGAACGGCACACCGCAGGTTCGGAGAGGCGTGGGAGGCTTCCCATCAACACCGCAGAACACGAACCGCTCTCCCGGCCTACAGAGCCCAAATGGCACCACCCCGCGACCCAACATCAAATCGCCGCTACCAGATCTGCCCAAGGCCCCCGCACAATCAAGCTCAGGGCCCCTAATACCCTCAGACATCCTCGATCCTGCCCAACAGCGCTTCTATGTCTTCGCCCTCTACGTCGCCCTATGGGCATACCGGACCTACGACTTCTATACCTTGGCCGTCGAGGAGGATGAGTCGCTATGGCTGTGTCTGAAATGGTGCTTCTTCGATGTGCTGTTCATGTTCGGCGTGCCGCTTCTGGAGATTCCCTGGCTGGAATGGGGCAATGGCGCTGCCTTCCTCCTGTTTGTGCTACACGCGGGCTTGGATGTCATGCTCATGTTTAGAATCGGCATACCGGTACAGGCATGGCTCATGGGCTTGGTGGGCTTCTTGTGGGACAGTGAACTGGCCATCAGCGAACGCAGCGTTAAGCCTGGCGCCATCCTCCACAACGCCTCTCTCATCCTGGGAAAGCAGATTGTCAACATCTTGCCTGAGGGATCCGCAGTATTGAACCCTGACAGGCAGTCGTTCTGTCTGAACTCGTCCGTCACCCAACTGGAGATTCCCATTATGATCAACCAGACCGAGCCCCACGAAATGGAGATTTTGCGCATCGATATCGATACGAACGTCAACGAAACCATCATCGTCAAGAAAAGCGAACTAAAGACTATGCTGAAGAGGGCTAGAAAGACGCAGAAGTCAACAGACCCTGACGATCCGTTGACTTTAGCCTATACCATTAAGAAGCCAGGTGTGTATCTGCTGAAGAAGGTTACAGATCAATCAAAGCTTTTGGTGCGACCGCGATCAACCAACGTTGTAGTGGCTACCTGCCCACAAGCTCGCGTGAAGCCAACTGGCAACGATCGCTGCCGTAGCGATCTATCTAACGTGGCGCTGGAAGTCGAGGGCACACCGCCCATGAATGTCAAATACCGCCTTATAGTGAACGGAAAGCCTCGCGGCGGATCCCAGTTCCAAAACCTGCAGCCGGACGATGCTATCTCACCATTGTCCAAACACACATCGCAAGCACTGGTCAAGAGCGGGCGTGAAGACATATCATGGGCACGCTCGCACAAAGTCCTAGTACCTCTGAACGAATCGCTCACGACTAGTGGCTCATGGGAGTACGAGATTGAAGAGGTGCAGGATGGACTTGGAAACTTCGTAAGCTATGTAAACGTCGACGATGACGAGCGTCCAAGGCCCAAAGCTGCGGGCATCCGTCAACTTTTCGAGGTTCATGAGCGCCCTACAGCTTTTCTCAGGGGTTGCAGTCCACAAAGCCCGCTTCGAGTACCCAAAGGTGAAGCCGCTCGCTTGCCAGTCCAGTACGGTTCCACCGGCAAAAACGCAATCGACGGTGCGCACACCGTTGAGTACTTGTTCACACCCCAAGAGAACATCATCGCGGACGGATACCATAGCCCAGATGCCGTGCTGCAGAAGCAAGTTATGCGAAAGGGCGAGCAACCTACCATCAAAGTTGCAGGTCTTTACACCATCAAATCTGTGTCGACTGACTTCTGCGACGGCGAGGTTTTCGAACCTACTTCGTGCCTGCTGCAGAACCCACCCGAGCCGGATCTAACCCTAGACAGCGAAGACATCATTGATAAATGTGCTGGTAACCCGATTGGTCTTCGCGTCGGCCTCGATTTTGTCGGTAGCCCGCCGTTCCTGGTCACCTACTCTGAGAAGAAAGACAATGGCCGAGAAATCAGGAAGCCACCGATCCAGATCGCAAGTCTCCGCAGTACAATTGATCTCACCCCACAAGATGCCGGTCATTACGAATATACCTTCAAGACGATTAGCGACTCTGTTTACAAAGAGCGGTCCCTGAACAACATCAAACTTCAACAAGACGTCAAGCCTTCCGCACAAGCACACTTTATCGAGAGTAGCCGACCTAAGCAAGCCTGCATAGATGACGTGGTAGAGTTCGACGTTGGTTTCGTTGGTGAGGCACCCTGGAAGCTGGAATACGAGATTGTTCACAACGGCAAGCGTACGAAGCGTGCCATCGAAACTGAGAACGCGCATTACGTTATACGAACAGACAAGCTCAGCAGCGGCGGCGAATACGTCGTAGCTTTGACGGGCGTTACCGACAAGTCCAAATGCAAAGAGGTCCTCAAGGAGGAAGCTAGAGTCAACGTACGTCACGAACGACCCAAAGCCTACTTCGGGCACATTGAAGGCAAGCAATCTGTACTGGCTCTGGAGAGCCGACAAGTCGGATTACCCCTCCGCTTTACTGGAAGCGGCCCTTGGCTGCTAGAGTACGAAAACTTGAAGACCAAGGAGATCAAGAAGGACAGTTTCCAGAATCCCAACTCATGGCTCGACGTCAAGACAGACGGTACATACCAGCTGCTCTCCGTCAAGGACTCTGTTTGTCCTGGTTTGGTCGACGAGAAGGCCGACCAATTTGATGTATCCTGGGTGGCACGTCCTTCGCTCAGTGTTCCTGAGAGTACTGCATTGTTGGAAGGCAGCAAGTACATCAAAGACGCCGTATGCGAGGGCGATGAAGATTCGTTTGATGTTTCCCTGACTGGTAAGTTATCTTAGCTCTTCCACATGTTGTCAATACTAATCATCTCGTAGGAAACGCTCCTTTTGACATTTCCTACCGACAGGAATACAAGGACAAGAAAGGAAAAACAGCTTCCGTCAGCGAGAAGGATCTGCACACCGTTGGTGGTCTTGCATCGATTCGATCGGAAACCTCAAAGGCTGGTACCTACGAGTACACCTTCCTCAAACTCGCAGATGCCAGGTATGATCACTCGAAGAAGCACTTCTCGCCTGTTACGATCCAGCAGCAAGTCTACTCGCGCCCTGGTGCTCGCTTCGACAAACCTGGAAAGACATACAGCTACTGTTCTCGAGAATCAGAGGGTGAAGAAGTCATTCCCATCACTCTAGAAGGCGTTGCGCCGTTCTATCTGGAAGTGGAGATTAAGCATCAAGGTACCCCTAAGCCGGAGATCAGCGTGCACAAGAACATACCTACGAACAAGTATGATCTCAAGATCGAGCACCGCAAGATGCACCTCGGTCACTCGTCCATATCCATCCGCAAAGTTCGCGACTCCCGTGGATGTACCCTCCGGCCCCCGCCCGGTGGTCCTCGTGTCCAGATCAGCGTTCATGACGCGCCCACTGCCACACCTCTCGAAGACCGACAGGACTTCTGTGTCGGCGAGCGCCTATCTTTCGCTCTCAGCGGCCAGAGTCCTTTTACAGTGTACTACACTTTTGAGAAGCAGGAGCGCAAGGCCTCCAACCCAGGCACCACGTTCCGCCGTCTCGCCGAACTTCCAGGAACGTTTACCATAACTGGTGTACGCGACTCTGCTTCCGAGTGTCTTGCAGCGCTCGATCTAACCAAAACCATACATCCAATCCCCTCCGTTCGTCTCTCCGGAGGCCAAGTCCATGAGATTGACATCCACGAGGGTGGCGGTACGGATTTAGAGTTCCAGTTCTGGGGTACGCCGCCTTTTGAGTTTACCTACACACGAAGCACGAACGCAAACAAGGGTCGCAAGAGCAAGGTGCTGGAGATCAAGACCGAAATCAGTCATGAGATGACTATGAGTATTCCTGTTCAGGAGGAGGGTACATATGAAGTTGTGTCCATCAAGGATAGGTGGTGTAGCTTTGCGAAGCCTGGCGAGGGCCACGATGGTAAAGGCGGGCAGAAGATGTTGACGTACTGAAAGTGAAGAGGAGGGAGGCAAGGAGTTGTCTTGATGTGCATGGATTGGCGTTTAGCGTTTCCTCTTTGACGTTTTCTGAGGCTTGCATGAGATTTTGGATGTTTGGAAGGTCTTTTTGGCTATGGATGGGTTTTGGTAGCGTGTGAGATAGCGATGAGCATTTATTGTCGAAAGTCTGATATATCCACTTTACCCACCGAATCACAAGGTATATACTTGACATATCTCATGAGTAGATTCCGACACGGGATCGATCCGTAGCGCAATCGCGATCTCGTACCTGCATCTAGCACTAGAGGTGGACCCTTTCCCATCCTAACACCACATTGATGATATCATGAACAAAGTGACATCACAACCACGAAATTAAGCTAAGAGAAGTTTCCAAAACAAAAAGAGAGGAAATTCACATGTCCTCTGATTGAAATTAAAGTCACTCTTATTACACTTTACCTCAAATCAAACCTCACATCCTCTTTCAAATACACACAACCAAGAACCGAACAGCCAACATGCCTCACTCCAAGACACCCGGCCAGAGCAACGCTGCTTCGGACAAATTCAACAAGCAAGAGGCTGAGAGTACGTTTCCGATTGCTCATTCTTCCATGTTGCTTTCTCCATGAAATGGTATACTAACAGTTATGACAGGCAAGGGTCTCGGCGCATCCAACGC